CTTGGCCTACAAATTTGATTATCAGCATGCATTCATGTACAAGGCCAACTTCCCTGGGATTCCAACACACCCCAGGAGGGATGGTTTTGCTTACATTTGCATGCCATAATAAGATGAGCAGGATACCTGTCTTTTATGAGCCATTTATTACAAAAAAGAAGCTGCATGTATATTACATTGTCTATTATAATAGGGCATTGAATTTACTGATGGACAGCTGTAGCAAATGTTCTGTCATGTTTACAGCAGGTTGTTTAGCAACAAGAAAATCAATACTTTAACAGAAATTCAAACATTAAATTCACGTAAATACAAAATACAGAATACAAAGTACAGAATAAGAAAATAAAATACATTAAGATTTCTGAAGAGCTCTACAAGAATCATGCCACACACAATGAGGCAAATATCTTTTCACAATGAACTATTTTGCAACCAGATGGACTTACAGTACAGTAACAGCTCTGCCTGTACATGCAGCTATGCATGTTGTTAATTACTGTACATCCCAGTATGTGCCTCTAAGACAACTCACAACTGCTTGCATTCTGCACAAATGTGTGAGTACATTTTAATAAATTGCAAAAACTTGGGGGCAGGGTCTTCAGTGACTTTTGCATTTTAGCAAGTGGACAGAAAGCTACATGTGTCATGCAGCTGATGGTCACTTTGGCGGACATACTTGATTTAAGTACTTCTTATAAATGCCACTTCAACTTCAAGTGAGTTACCTGTATTCAATACATGCACCTGTTAGCCCCCTCTTGATGACATGACTTCTGTAACTTGTTTAATCCTCAATAATCTGCTGAACAAGACCCTGATTGAGGTGTACTTTGCTTCATTATGCCATTCAATAAGTGTACAGAGATTGCTAACATAGCCAGGAAAAAAGCTTATCTATGCTCATTCAATGCAACCACTAAAGCGAAAAATAGGATTTATCCAAGGGGGAAAAGACCTCTTGACTAATAGTGTATGCTGCTCTCAGACAAATATTTGATTTATCATGCTGGTGAGAAAGGATGCGTTTGGGTATTAAGCCATGTCATTTTTTCATCACCCTGGGAAAGGAGATTTTACTTATATTGCATTAGTTTTAATCACGAGGATGTGTCAAACATCCTTGACAGTAAAAACCAATATAGTCAAGATTCCTTTGAGACAAGACGAGAAAACAGCCTTCACATTACGCCTGGTGAGGAAATGAAAAAAGTTCCTTTGGAGTAGATGCCAAACAGTGAACTAATTATTGACTGGTATGTTATAATACAAGCATTGTGCCGAGTGGAAATCTGTGATCATGAGAAGGTAGAAGACAGGGAAAGAACGTCAGACAAAAATGTATGCTTCCCCACACGAACCATCAACTGCATCTGGGCTAATAATAATGATCAGGTCAACTCGAAAGCCTCAGTTCCAATGTTGTCACATGGCTATCACAAAGAGCCAGAGATTGGACAGTCAGCTACAATTGGGTGAGCGGCAGCAATAAGGCAATCTTGCACTCATAGGTTGGATAATTTGCAATATGTCCAATCACCATGGTAGCATGCATACTGTACCCCAACATGACAAGACAAAGTATGTTCATTGCTGGAAAGTAATGACTCCTGAAAAGTTTCACTACAGTATTTGTTTACACTTGGTTGTGAGTGTTTAATGAGGCATTCCTTTCCTATTGGTCAAACAAAACTCTGAAATAAATGAAAGCAGAGTGCAGGTACATGTGAATGTATGTTGAGGCTTGGAGGTATTCACGCACATTATATCCTACCGTACATTTATTTTTATGAGGGAAATGAAGTGTGACTTTGAAGTAATTACATGTAGTGTTTCAAGTTATCCATTTTTGAGTTTCACGAGAAATTACTGTAAAATTATTTCACATTGACTTTCACGTGGTGGCAATTTAATAATTCAAATCAAAATCAAATCATTAAAACAAACTTCTCTGAAAATTCACGAAAGTTTTAAAATCCTCCAAATGTCCAACATATACGTATCAGAACCTGTCATACAACAGAATAATGGTTGTACACAATGAAAGTCCCACATCCGTTGCTGGGATTTCCTGCAGCATGATTGCAGACATGAATGAGATCTTTTCTCAGTATACAAATACCCCTCTGAGAAATGTTTAGCGCTGCTTATCTGATGTATTCAACTTAAGAGAAATCCTCAGATCACAGTGTCCAACAATGGAGGTTTCTGGAAAAGGAGTGACTAGCCTGAGTTCAATGACCTTTTGAAAGTACTGTAGGTATTGATCTTAGTGAGTTTTCACACATCATGGATGAAAGGATGATTTTTAGTTAAAGGGGGGTTCATACAATTAGTTATTGATAGCTGCATCATTTTTTATGCATTCTTATCAGCTTATTCGCTTCACTGAAGGAAGGCCTCTTCATCAATTTTCCCTTTCAACCTGTCCTACCGGTAGGCTATCCTCTCCAATGTAACACTACCAAATTCCATTGTTATCCATCCATCTCCTGCTTTGCCTGCCTCTTCCTCAGGTATGAACTCCACTTCTTTGATTGTATTTCCTGTGTTTTATCTTGCACTCTTGTTTTCTACATGTATCTAAAGTCTTGGTTACCGACTCTATTCCTTTTGTGACACCAATCACAGAGTCAGTAACCATTTGGACATTTGCCACATCAATAAAGCAACTTAACTTTGAGTCACTGGACCAATGCTGCTTGGTCAAGGCCTAATAATGAGATCATGTGATTCCTTACTGATCATATTTCATACAGCAGAAGAGTCCTTGTAGAAAATGAAATTCAGAAAATCTGTACAGAGTAGGGACTTTATAAATAATGCTCCTCAGACTTGGTAGCTACTTGTTGACACTAACTGAATTAATGAAGTGTAAAACTGCAATGATTCTTAATGTATTTGTAAAAAAACTTTTGGTTTGAAAAAACTTCAAGAAATTGGTTCATAACATTCTGAGTTGTGTGAATATACTGAATTTACAGAGTTCCAGGAAGATTACATGTATGTACATGTCTGAGCAGTTGAAACTACATGTGCATTGTACATGTAGCAAATGAGCTCTACAACAAATTTTGGCTAAGAAAACAACTGAAACCTGAGTTTCAAATTCTCCACTAGAATTTTGGCAATGATTCCATTCCTTATAATTCTTCACATAACTACAAAAAAGTCTACTTCAAAGTCACCAAAACGAACCAGGGTCCATAATATACCAGTACAAGTTATTCAGATAAAAACCTGTCCACCATGGGCAGATAATCCACGCATCATTACACTAACCTGTCCTGAGTGGAACCAGGGTTATCCCCAGCTACAAACCTGCGTATCAGCCCAATACGTAAATTTTTTGCCTCGATCATTGCCAATATGCAAGTAAAATGCCCGATACTCATTTTTTTGGTCCCCGATACGCACAATATTTTTTGGCCTACCATTAGTGTAATTACACATCAAGAAGCCTAAGGATTTCATGGTTTAAGATCTGTCTTGAGCTTGATGCAGCTGGACAAAGTACAGCAGTAGGACTATAAAAAAAATTGGCGTACACACATGTATAAATGTTAGACGTAAACAACCCAACACATTGCACAGTATTAAATGGCCATGTATAACGCACTCAAGCCAATGTCCCATGAAATCTTCAGCCTCGTAGTCCGTTCCATTCATGGTCCATTTGTGCACACCGCCTACTGCATGCAAAGCTAAAGATACCTCACAGCGCAATCTGAGGCTTCTTGTGTGGGGAGCACCATGCTACGCTACACCATTCACTATGCTTGCTGCATTGACCCCATTCCTTCATCAACGTGGCAGGTGTGGCAGTATACATGTATGATGTAGGCACCTGCATCGGGAACAATACCACTCATGTGATGTCACATGTTACCAAGATGTGTGATGCTTCGATTTTCACTTCGACACTAGTTCCCATCGCCTATCCACTTTAAGATACTGACGATAGTTGATGGGTCCATTGCAGAACCAGTCTATGTGCAACGTGTGCTGCGAGCCACACTAGGTCAGAACACGCAGTCATGACGGAAAAAGTACAAAGTTTGGTTCTTTTTTTATTTTCTGTGATGTAAAGTCACATGTGGAATTACCTCAAGTCAAACTGTGTTTCATTTCACTGAAGTTCAACTACATGTTACCACAAGTGTGACGTCTTATGAACAAACCATGTATATCAGAGTTTTTGCCTGCTTAACTCTTATTTTAGTTTACATGTATGTCACATAAACATGTATTTATATGCACAGTATTATTTTATTATGTTTGTCTTAACTTCATAATTTACAAGACAAAGCAAAGTTTTTTGACAGCGTCATTTGTTTCAATTGTCCTCAGATGGTTACTAGATCCAAGAATTTACTCTGTCAATATAATTCTATTACATGGACATGTATCCACCTTACATAAAAGAAGCACAATCATTTTGCCAATGTGTTACATGTATTGTGTTCATACTAATGTGTTTGAAATGCGTTTGACACGTGGAGCGACTGATGCATAAGAAAAAGCAGTGGTCTTTTAACAAAATTTTGCAAAAAGTCCATTAAATCAGTCTCATTTGCCAGTCAAAAAAAGCAACTGAAAAGCTCAGGAAATGCTGTAAAGTGCACTAGAGTGCATGCGGAGTCCAAAATTTGTCAGGGCCCTTAAGCGGGCCCCGGAGCCCACGCTGTGGCTTCACAATTGTCAGTGAACCACAACAAATGCCCCACACATTTTGGAAAATCCTGGGGAGAACCCTGGGAACCAAGAGATGGTGCACGTTTCCAAGCAACAGAGGCTCCTTTGGTGGGAACTACACTTCGCTGGTTCACAAACGACTATGAAATGCATGCGTTGCAGTCACGTCACTAATACTAAAATGAACACTCCCCATCAACATACCTCTTTTCAACCAACAAGGGGGTGCTTCTGCTCAAGGCGCATAATGTGGTTGATCACTTAGTCCTGATGAGACAGCATCCATAATCTTAATCACTTACCTGAGCAATGGCTTCAAACTCTTCATGCTTCTTCTGTAAGGCTCTGGCTTTGTGCAATGTTTTGCCAACACCTGTGTGCTTTGCCAAAAACTCCTCACCGTAATTCTCCAACCAGTAGAGCACCTGAGTCGAGAGTATGAAAAAGGCAACTGAATTGAGCAGATCCTCCAAATTATTTATTCCTGCTTACCATCTTTTCCTGTTTGTAACAGTTACCCTTTAAGCACTTTGTGTTTCAGACAATAAGCCAAAATAAAAGAACATCCATTAGGCTAGTACAACGTAATTGATCAATATGAAATCTTAAGTGAAATATAAAGTTCACCTGCTGCACATAAACTGTAAATAACACCCCAATCCCAGTATCAAAGTCACCAAGGAAAGCAAGAAAAACTGTGGGCACTCATGAGTGACTAATTCGTAAAGAGAGTGAGAGAGGACCTGCTCACACTCAATGAGTGACCAAAGTTTTGTAGGAGAATTATGCTAAGCATGGATGCACTCTGTTGTCATGTTAAGTTTGACATTATGTACAGTATATAGTCTGACTCTCATCCACTGACTATCAAGGGAGACAACAGGGGCCTTTAGCAATGTCTGATATGTGCACAAATACATTTTGCATAAAGCTAATCGGAGCCGAGTACAGAAACTGTGACTTCATTTGAGCAGAATTTGGCTTAAAGCAGTTGATTAATCAGGAGATTTCAGCTAGCCATGTTTATTAATCAACATAGTAGCCTCCACACAGTGAGTGTCTTTGAATGATTCAGATTGTGGAAATCGATTTTTTTCTTCAGTTTTGGTGAGTGACAGTATCTCATACAAACAAGACAGGAAGCTTTCTTAAAAGCATTGAACACAGGTTATTTCACAAATTAGTAGTGCATTTGGAATGCAGCCTAGGCTTCTCCATTTATCAGCAGTAAGGGGGCACTTCTGCACTGAGAAGATACACATGGAGATGAGATTATTATCCTGAATCTTACCTGTGCCGCATCCTGCTGGAATACACAGAGCTGAATACGTTGACACAGCACCATCTTCTTAGCCTGCCACAGCTCATCTAGCTGTCGATGATGATGTAGCACCTTATGGATGAGATCTAAGACGTGACTCGCTGAGGCCGTGTAATCAGTCTGTGCAGTGACGGAGTTCTCGCTCTCGGGACTGAGGGGTTGCTGTAAAGCATCTAGCAGTGACTTCCCATCCCCACAAAGCTGAAACAATGGAAATTGAAAGATTCAATACCTTCACTTCCTTTGGGTTTTTTCACGCGGCAGGAATTTTTTGGAATCGTATTCCACGAATCCAAGTGATTTACTGAACAATTTGATAGGAAAAGAAACCTATTTTGCAATTTTTATAGCCTCCGGTTGAAAAATATTATGGAATCATTGGAGCACAAGAGTGGTTACCCGCTTACATCATCTTGGCTCACAGACATACATTTATGAAGTCTCTACAACTTTTTTACAGGGATCTGCTTGCTTTCAACTCAGGATAGCCAAGTTATGAATCAGGCCAAAAGAATGAGAGACGGTACTGTATCTCTTTGCAACATCAGCAATTACTCATGTCACGTTCTAGTTCAAGTAAATTTGTATTTACAATAATGTATGTATCACATGTACATGATGGTAGGTTCTTGTGCTTGAATTCATACACTTTTCATGGTTTCCACACACTCACAATCATGAATTATTTATGTTTTGTTCAAGATTATAATAATCCCTGACAATTTCAATTTTGAGGCTCAATTAAGTCCTAGTATGTCAAAGTTGGAAACTCAACTGATGACACTCAACTGAAGACACTTCTGTCGTGTTTATACTGGAGGGTGAATTAAGTGAGCTAATTTGTCTGAGCAACAGCGACTTTTCATTATGAACCTTAAATTAATAATGTTCAGTAATCAGCTTTGCCTTCAATGAATACGTATGACGTAGCCTTTCAAGTGTTTGTAACCAGTGCAGTGCACTTTTTCAGGGTATCATAATAGGTATTTTGTAGTTATACTAAAGGCTACTCTATATTCTGAGGGTAATGCTACCCTGCGTCCTTGGGTACTCACATCTGAGTAGCACTGGCTGATGGTCTCAAAAAGTTTCTGGTGTTGATGAAGTTTGGCCTCTAGCTCTGGTATCTCGGTAGGTATCTCATCCTCCTCTTGGCATTGTTCAGCCCAGCCAAAGAGATTGGCCATGTACTTTGAGATCAAAGAAGGGAAGGTTATTATTCACTGAAATCAATACAACCAGGTGGGTGGCTAAAGTGTACAGACTGCCTGTGGAAGGTGGGATTAACTACGCAGGAGTAAATATTCTCTAAGACACCAATGTAACCAGGGTGGGTCAGCCCAGCCATACAGATTGGCCAAGAACTGCGAAATCAAAAACAGGACGTTCAATGTTTATTGGGTCACCAATGTAACCAGAGTGGGTCAGCCCAGCCTTACAGATTGGCCAGGCTCAAGGATCAAATAAGGGAAGACCACATGATTACTCATTAATGCCAATATAGCCTGGTGAGTTGGCCCGACTGGTATAGATTGGTCAGGGACTGTGGTATTAAGTATGCAGGGTTTAACATGCACTAGGATACCAACATAACCACACTGGTCAGCCCAGTGATGAATTTTGGTCATTTATTTTGGGGGAAATCAAATGAAAGGTGGTTCAGATTCATTATGACACCCATGAATACAACATCTGACAATCCTGAGGGTGTTCCACATGACCAGTTGATCTAACCTCTTCAACTTTCTGATGGAAAGCTACAGACATAGTCAGCAGGGTACTCCTCTCATCCAAGGCTACAGCAAATGCACGCCACTTCTGCTCCAGCTTGTGGGTGAGTCGTTCAATTTGTTCAGCTGCATAATGTCCTGATTCCATCAGGCGTGAGGCGATGCCAACTATCTGGTTGATCTGGACGTACATACCCTGAGAGGTGTAAACAAATGAAGAAACTTTTCTCATCTCAGAGATTAAATCCGTAAGGTGTCTTCACTAGTAAGCCAAAGACTGTTGGCTACATTCCTTTCCTGAAAAGCCCATAAAACTGCTCCCGTAGGTTTTGGGAAAACTCTGAGAAAACAATAATAAAATAATTTATTCCTTTTTGTTCATTTATAAAGCGCAAATTTCATACAAATATGTTCAAATGCACTGTTCAATGAAGCCAAGAGCGCTTCTGGCAGCTGCCAAAGGGTCCACATTCACCTACATCTATAGAGAGGAGACAATGAGAAGCAGTTACAGTTTTAGAGGTGGGAGGAAAACCCCAGAGAAGAAATTTTTGAGTAAAAGTTTAAAACCCACAGAATCACGTTGGGACAGAAAACCCAATCCACATGTGGGCCGAGCCGGGAATGGAACCCGGGCCACAGAGGTGAAAGGCGAGGAAAGAACGACTTCACCAACCTGACCCCTGATGGCCATCTCACTTCAGTGTTGAAGGAGGAATCCTCATCACAAACAAGATACTCACTACAGTACAGGTCAGAATTTTAGCTGACACGTTATCACGCTTAGCGTGTCAACGTGTATCGGGTCAAACAGATATGAAAGGAGTTAACCACAAACACAAAACACGCTGACCTCAGCATAACAGAGAACGCCGACACTGCAATCCGATTTGCCGAGTATAAACATGCACACGCTACATGCAAAACCCAGAACAGCCAGGCCTTTGTTGACCGGAGCAGTCATTTTCCTAGTTTCCCACAACGAAAAGTTTTCAGTTTGACTGCAGCTTAAGTTATCTTCAAATTCCACGGAAATGCTATCAGTAGTTTACCAAGCATCACGAAATCATTTTTGAAGATAAAGCATTTTGTGTATCCATACAGGATCGATGAAAGTGCCATGCAGACAACACTTTTGGTTTATGTCTGAATTGCTCCCAAAACTTCTGAATCAGGCACAGAAAATACACTAGCGTGAAATCAATTTTTTAACCGAGACGATTATAACTAGCAGATTTTACAGCAAAACATTTTCTAAATTAGAGAAAACTATTTTGAAAGAAATCCACAAAATATAAATGGGATTTGATCTTGCCGGTCAAATTTTAGTCGGCCCCCACGGCGGCAATTCTAGCATACATACTCGAGCTCAGTGTGTTTAATAAAGTAGCATGAATACAAATTTGATGTGAGGTGGGGATTTTTTCCCATCAGTTTTCAACCTTTGAGCTGGAAAACCTACCTAAAAAAATCACTCTGATTGTGACGACATTAGGACTAAACTGAACGGCAAAGATCACACTGAAATGAAAGGAAGTCGGGTCTGCACTAGTGCCAGCGACGTGCATGCACCTGCTCCACACAATGGACAAAGTAGCACCCATGTGAACTTCATAAATATGCATGTCGTGTGACTTGTAAGAGCTGTAGCTTTGCATTTGTTGGCACTGTATCGAAATGAACGTGCAATACACTTGTTTAAATTTATGATTGATGGTTGGGATGAAAGTGCTGGGGAGGTATTTTTCTCATTGCTTTGTCGTGGCACGGTCGCGGCACGTGGCAGCAAATGAAAAAGTCAAGTTAAAATTTTCACAATTTCAGTTGATTTTTTTTTAATTTACTGGAATTATGATACATGAACTGAATTTCCATAAATTAAGAAATACTCAGCTTGTTATTACAGTTCTGGCTGAGGAATGGATTTCTTTTGTGGTTACTGTTTATTTGTGAAAAGTTCTCATGCAATTGGGAATTGCTTAAAACTGATCTAGCATCAGAACCAGCAAGAAAAGCATCGTTGTCACTCCAGTCGATCCTGGGAGTTGAAAATTCAAAGCTTACATTTCATTTGGAAAAAAGTCTGTAGTAGCTAAACACACACGGTGGACTATTGGCCAGTTTCACTGAAATTTGACATTTTCCAGATGTAATCCGACTGAACAAGTTTCGTGATCCAAAACAAAAGAAAACGGCAGTAATAGTGATACAAATTTCAATACTTCAAGACGGTCATCTTGCCAGCCAGGCACTACACGTTCATGTATGTGATTTCACTTATTCAGTGAACTGTCATACAGTGTACATTGTACATATGTACACGCATACACAAAGCTGGCTGGAGCGACGGCCCTGCGTGTGCAGTGGTTCACTAGATGTTGTCGGTCACCCTTGCAGTCTGCGGTCACAAGCCCTGCTGAGGTAATGAGGTCCAGGGTCAGGCTTATCGTCCACGGTAAAAACAGCAAATTGTGTATTGAATGGCGTGTCAGGTTCACTGATTGTGTTAGCGTGTCGGCTAAAATTCTGACCTGTGCTGTATGCAATCTGCATGGAGTAAACATTCATAACTCACCATCGCTTGGGTTGCAAACAAGTTATGTTCCTCCTGTAACTCCTCCCCACTCTGTGAATTGCTGCCAATCTCGGTGTGATTGAGGAGAAAGAGTTCCTTTTGGTGGGCCAGCCATTCAAACATCTGATGTACAACCAAAAAAAAAAGCTCCTACTTGCTAAGTGACAAGGCCTACATTTCCTTTAACCACTTGCTGCTGGGTGGAGTTTTCTTGAGCAAGACAAGATGCCGGCTCATTTTCAAGATTTTCCGTTTTCAAAGTTCTTCAAAAATTCATCATTTCATTTAATGGCCGTTTATACCAAAATGAAGGACTCTTTGGGCGCTACTCTAAAGCTGACAGGTAAAATTCATTGACTCCTGAATATTTCAGCCAGGCCTGCAAGCCTTGGAAAAAGAGCCCAGATTGTGCGGTGTTACGTAAGATTCTTTTGTTCCCGAAATCGGCACAGAGCACTGCTGACCTCTTTTAAATAGGGGCCAGATTAGCGTGCAGCGGTGCTGTGTGGTGGAGAGCTTTTGTCCCGGTGGTAATCTGCTTGCTCTATAAATGCCTCAAACCGTGGTATACTGTTTCAAAACAAGGCTGGATTATCTCCATAATTGAGAGTGAAAAAATGTTGGTAATGCCCAGCAGCTCAGTCTTTTGTGCTGAGCACGGTCTTTTGTTATAAGGCCCAACTCTTTTGTCCAAGTTCCGGGCTCCCCGGCTCTGCACATAAAGCCTATGTACTTGAAAACGGGTCGCCCGTCAGGAAGTGGTTAACTCATCAGCCCTCTATAAACACTTAGTGCATAACATGACTTGATTTATAATTCAAAAACTGAGACATTTGCAAACTGGGATTCTAGGTTCTTTTACAGATCCTCTCAGCAGGGGCTAGTTTGTTATCTTGATTTAATTTGCAAGAACAAAGTAATCCAAGGTCCCATTTCAGTATTCCAACCAAAGTTTTACTGCTTTATCACCGACCTTGAAGGATAGGAAGCTTCTCATGATCAAGTTTCCAAAATTCAAACATCATGCAATATCCAAATGGTAATACTTTGTGCTGAATCAAATGGGGACATAATGCCCAGTTCAGATGACTGCTCTATAGTCCTGAAGCAATTAAAATCATTTTTAAAAACCACGACGGTCAGTGAAAGATTTGGAAATTCAAAGCCATGTGCTAATTTGATACTTATCTGAATGTCCTGAAAGTGCAAATCAAAAAGTGGACAGATTTTTTTTTCTCACAACAGATATGGTCAGCTACCTTCTGAACATCCTGTTCAAATAGTCTGAGTTCCAAACACTGCTCCAGCTTCAGCTTTCTGATCTGCCAGAGTTGGTGAAGCTGTTGCCTGGTTGCTGTCACACTGTCCATCATGCGATTGACACGGGGTACCACACCATGGAAGTCAGCGCTAGCTGCAATGCTAGACATACTGGTGAAACTACCATGTGAGCTGCCGCAGTAGCCTGAGTCTGTGGTTGTAGACTCATCTCCATTGAAACCACTGCAAATTCTAAAGTCATTCAGAAAACAAAAAAAGGCATTAACAGTGGAATCGCAGTAGCATTTATTACAAGACTAAATATCAAGTTACTGGCTTTATGTAAGAACTGCTGAGGGACACTTGTTGGAACTCAAGAGGCTAGACTTGAAATTACTCTATACCCATAATTTCATCAGTTTGAAATTTACAGCAAAAAAACTGAAACTTTACATTTTAATGCAAAATTAAATTTAACCAATTGCTGCCGGGTGCCTTTGGAAATGCAGTTTAACACCAGGCAATTTTTCAATATCTTCGGTTTGCAAAAACCCACCTAAACCCCATCAAGTGTCTAGTGGTTACTCTAATCTGACAGACAACATCTATCGAAGCCCGAGTATTTCAGCCAGGCCTTCCGCCTTGTAAAAAGAGGCCAGATTGTGCAGTGTTTTGTTACAAGGTCCAACTCTTTTTTATTTCGGGCACCCAGGCTATGCGTACAAACCCAAGGTACCCAGTACTGGGCACCTCGGCACGAAGTGGTTAAAAAGCTTCAGTATCAATAAACTATCCAACAGTGATTTGCTGGTATGATCCATTCACATGTACAGGGCAACTGTTGGGCATGTCTTTGAGTGATCAACCAAAATGATCAATTGTGGACTACATACAAGTACGTGTATGAACTAATATTTGGACGCCCGTGTGCCTGAAGTATACTGACTGTTGTGAGTGGCCACCTTAAGGACACAATAATCACCAATATTGTCTGACTGAATATTTACCCGTACCCTCAGCAAAGTCATCCAACATGCATGCATTTTGACATAAGATAACCATCAATCATACAAGCCTGACCATCCAGGAAGGACCCTTGTGTGGACTGAATGTCATCCTGACCTACATGTACATGTACCTCCTAAGCAGCCTCTGTCCATCCTGGTTGATCTGCTCCACCGGTATCTCCAGCACCTGTTCCCGCAGGTGCGTGTGCTCCTCAATTTGCTGCTGGGCGCCGTCTATGGTCATGGCAAAGTTAGTGCAGTTCATCTCCCGCTTTAGGTGGTCTTGGCGATGCATGAGCTCCGAGGCTTTGGTTAGGAAATCCTCTACAGCCTAAGGAGCACAAGACAAGAAAGGATTAGAAGAACTGGTGTAATGGACTGTACTAGTCCCACCCATTACATACATGTACATGATCAATTAACATGCCAATCTGCGTGATCCAGCTGCATGTGTCATATGTGCCTGAATGTACATGTATGTTGGGTTTTAAAAAAGCATGTGGACATAAATCACCACAGTCATTGGTCAGAGCAACATGGGGCAGGGCTTAATAAGTCAGTCCACTGGGAGGCACTGGAAGGACAAAGGGGACCCTCCCTGAAGCCTGTGCCCCATTGTGCACACCAATTCAGAATTT